AAACAACCATATTTCAGCTTCCATGGAAATAAATAAATAAATAAAATAAACCTTTGCATGCTTGCATAGATGAGTTGCTGAACCCTGACTCATTGTGAAGCTGCAATAACACATACAGAATCAAAACAATCACCCAAAACCGCTTGCTAAACAGGGATCTTTGTAAGAAATTTGTACCTCAATATCACAAGTTTCATCTTTAACCATGTTTTTCTGTTTCTCCACGAAATGATCATCCAAAAGCTTCCTCAATTTGAATAGAGTATCATCACTAAGGGTATAAATATCAATCTCAATTTCATCCTCCACTGTGGCATTCCCATGTGAACTGTTCTCTTTAAGGAAATCAATAATTCTTTCGGGTAAATCCGTTATTGAAGACTCCAATTCAAGGCTAAGTTTACGCTTTTCAGCATCTGACATTGTCCTCTTAACAGCTTCTTGCTTTGTTTCATTACCAAAAGATGTTGTCTTCTTTTTCTTGTAGGGGGGCATGGAAATAGGAGGTTCCGTTTCAGTTTCTACAACATTCTGTCTCATAGGAACCACTGCCTCTGTGGCAACTGACAGCTTCTTCTCGATTGGTTTCCATCTGACTTCAAAGTACTTGCTCAATGTTTCAGCCATTATATGCACATCATTCCCGCGTGGATTGTATGTCATTGCATTTGAAAAGGTCAGTCTAACATCACCTGCAAAAGCCCATGGATCCATATATCTTCCTGACATTAACTTTGTTTTCACTGTCCCCAAATCCATTGGATGCTGAATAACAGTGTAATAGTCTGGAATCTTTAGAGCTACTACATCAACAGGAGTATTAAACACCCAACCAAAATTATGCCCCATCAACCGAGTCAATAGTGCCTCACATTGCTTCATCAACATGGCATTCCCAGTCCCAGAAGTTGGAGGTAATGCCTTCTTTGTAGATTCCACACGGGCTGACCCGCTCTTCTTTGACCGGGACCCACCACTCCGGCCAGGTGGACCTTTTCTCTTGGGCATCGGTAGGGACATAGATCTAGAATATTCAGGAATGGGTCTCCTTTGTCCAGCACTACAACTATGAACATCAGATGGTGACAAAACCCCTACATTTGAGTTTGAGCTCACCATTCCAATGTTTTTCTGTAATGTTCTAACTTGTTCAAGCTCATGTTTCAATCTCAATCCTAATTCTTTCCTCTCAACACTTGACAGCTTTGATAAAGACAACACTTGAATTGGAACACCAAAGTGTTGGGAAGAATCGGGATTCAAGTTAAGAGACTTCCTGTTTGGCGCACAAGAATCTTCTGAAGCGGTCATTTCAGTGTCAAGACGCCCTGAGCTACCAAATCCTTCAGAGTTGGCCATGGTGTCAACTGCATGGCGGTAGTCTGGAACAAACCCATGTGAGTAGCCTTTAGAAACTTTCCTTGTTTTACCCATCATTTGAGTGAAATTGTTTTGTGATGATAACTTCTTTGAAACTCTTTGTCCAGCAAACTCTACAGGAAAAGTAGGTGCCATAAAACTCAATCCCCAAGAGCTGAAAGCATCAACTCCCGGTGTTCATAAATACCCATAACTTGCAAACTTATTCAAAACTCATATATACAGATAGAGATGCCAGGTAAAAATCTTGTGAAGTATGAATGTATCAAACAAACTCAAATGTTTCCGATTCAGAATTGTCAAAAGCTTATATAGATAGATGTAGGTTATATCAGATATCTAACCAATTAACATGGAATCTACGAATCGGGTTTCAAAATTGATTGCAAGATAAATCTAACCATTCACGTATTAACCGCAAGCGACGTTAAGATGAATTCAGCAATTGATCCAGATCGACAACATTCAAAACGAATGCCACGAAACAAACACAAGCGGAAAGAATGAAATCAATAACCTAATATACCCTCTAAACCCCGGATGGAACACCAAACGTAAAGAGGCCAAACGAATTAATAAACCCTAGAGTAACTTTTTTTCAAAATTGGAACCCTGGATTAACGGTACCAAAGAGAAAGAGTCGAACACAAAACGTGGCTCTTTGAGGCAAAGAAAACAAAATCGCAATCGGATAGAGAGGGTAAGGTGTGTTTGGAAACCCTAGAAAAACCCTCGCTCGTTGGAGAATCGACAAAACGTGCGAGATTAAGAGAGATTTATAGAGAGGGAGCGAAAGGAAGATTGGGCTAAAAAGATGAGAGAGAGAGAGAGAGAGAGAGAGAGAGAGACGTGGTGGTTGGGTTATGGAGTTATCGGTCTCCAGTTAAAAAGCGAAGGGTGATGGCTTGGCTGGTGGCTGGGGGTGTGAGTCGCCTCTTTGCGCGCCGCTCTTTTAGCAAATCTTGGCCGACATCTTTTGGTTTCATAATTCATCTTGTGGTCCATATTTCTAGACGATTTTCTTCATTTTGAATTTGTATTTTTTTTACCATCTTTATCACGTCCGAATTCTGATCATTATACATGCTTGAATATGATTAAATATAGATTATGAGTAAATTATAAATGCTCCATATCATTTGATGTTACCTTTGTGTTTTTAATTTTTTTTATTCATAATTTGGACAGTAATGTATTTTTTTTATGTCTCTTAGGTAAAATAGAATGAAACTATTTTCTATTCACTTATTTTTCTAATTAATTTGTTATTTATTTAAATATTAAAATAAATCAAAATGAGACTCACCCTCCTCCCCTCCCCTTCTTGTGACGACCACAACCATTAACTTTCGGTTACTTCTATTGTTACAACAATAATCCTAGAAACAAAACAAAAACATAGATCCAAAATAGAACATAACCAAATGAAAACATTGTGAGGTCGGGTGTTACGAGACCAAATGAAACACTATGAGGTTGGATGTTACGAGACCAAATTAAACCTCAACAATTTTGTACTTTAAAGAAGTTTGATATTGATTAAGAACACGACCACCATTACTAAAGGCAGATTCAGATGCTATAGTGGAGACACGGATGCTTAAAATATCTCGAGTCATGGAAACAAGCTCCGGATAATGATATTGATGTGTTTTCCAAAAAGAAAGAAGATCTAAATCATCACTTATGTCACTTCTTGGCTCATCAAAGTAATAAAATTTTCGTTTTTAAATTAATAAAATTGTAATCCAAACATCATCATAAAATCAAGATAGAACAAAGTGTGTCAAATACATCATGAAACATCAGAGTAAGCATAAAATACAGAACGAGGTGGTGTGTGCACTGCAATCATCTCGGGCTCTTCTCTTTTGTGAGAACCAACACTTCTCTAATACATTTACAATATTATTACTCCAAATATGCTACATGCATATTCATAATATAATTTACAAAAGTCTGTATACAAACCAACTCTTAAGACTTTTACAAAGTTTTATATATTACATAACTTCCCAGGAATTTATACACTAAGTACAAAAGTAATAATATTATCTATTCTACATCTCCCAACAGTACATGACTATACTGGATGTTTATCACCTGCAATAGTTAAACACCGAGAGGGATAAGTGGGTGACGCTTAGTAAGTTCAATAATA